AAGAGAGAGAGAGAGAGAGAGAGAGAGAGAGAGAGAGAATGTTATACGGAGCGGGTTGTTCAAGCTCGTAAAGTATGTATTTACTAATGTCTTGTCTTGTTGTGTGTATGCGTGAGTGCACCTAACCTTTGTAACATTGCACTGCAATTGTTAAGGACCAAGACATATTTCTCCCTGTAAGATGAATAAAGATTGTCTTTGTCATTGACATCGAAAACACACTAATCGGCTAAGAACGAGTCGGTGCTGTTCAATTTAAAGAGACAGTAATCGGCTGGAACCGTGTCTAATGAAATTGAACACACTCTAAACAGTAGATACAGCACCAGCTAAGTTTGGAAACAATAAGCTGCTAAAAATGCGTTGGTGCAAGATTAATACTGGGTGGCCAGTGCAACAATCGGGTCGGGTCGGGTCGATTAACAAGCCAGATTGAGGAAGCAAACCGGCTATCGTGGCACAAGACGATCGCGCCTGACTCGTAGCTCAAACACAAACCGGATCGCCCCCCGACCCGACACTACCCCCACTTGATCCCATCTGCAATGGGAACCCCGTTTTGGATGTAAAACTCATTAATCGGTTGGGAACGCATTGATTAAGCTATCCATTAATCGGTTGGGATCGCTTGGGTTAATTCTGAACACACACCAGTTGAAATGCGTCAGTTACGCTTGATCGAGGACAGACTTACGAGTTTGTATGAGTCGGTTAAACTTGGAAACACACTAGTCTGTTGGGTACTTGTCAATTAACCTTTAGAACACACAATTCACACCAGAATCAATTGCATGTTGTGTGGATGGGGGCGTAAAACACATAAACAAAATAATTATTTTCATTAATTTATGTTTGCTCTCCTTCACTTGCTCTTTTCCCAACTTAACCCTAGGTTATTTAAATTAAGCTATCCACTCATTCATCTATCTACACACTCAGTCTCCCGTTTAAGAACCTATTCACTCTTTCATTCATCTACGTGTTTTTGTTTTCCTTCCTTCGTTCGCTCTTTTATAAACACATTCAGTCTCATTCTTTTTTTCCTAATTGCTTCTCAGCCTTTGTTCCAGATAATTGTGTGGCAACGCGGTGAAATCAGGCACTCGTAAAAAATGAAAATGAAGAAACCAACAATATTCCGCCCGTAGGGGCAATTTTTATTATTTGTGTGGCTCAACACCTTTCATATCTGCCTCAAGACACATTTCCGTGTCCATGTGATTGATAAAAAGGTGTTCAAAGAACGACAAAATGTAAACTTGCAATTTCCAAGGACTCTTGAGCTATGAAAGTCACCAAACTCTAGTTACCATTTTCAATACCAGCCCCCCTCCTCCCCCCATACTTCCTTCAATCGCAAACACTGTATTTCTATTCAAGATAAATGCTTTTTTATTCATCAAAAGCAAGATAAACGGACAAGCTGCAAAATTATGTCGACAACGTCGTATTCTCAAAAACTGACCAGCGCCTGATTCCACCGTGTCGTGACACTATTATGTAATCTTCAAATTTTAGCCTGAGGGTTTTATAGAGTGTAAACGTCATTGGTCCCCCCCCTCTCCCCTTCTCTCTCTCTCTCTCTCTCTCTCTCTCTCTCTCTCTCTCTCTCTCTCTCCTAATTCTGCCCCGCCTATCATCAGTCTTTCTTTGACTCTCGCAACTCAACTCGACTTAGCGATGATGGAGCTTACACACCAATACTCGGGCTACAATAATAGCTTACTACTACTACTACTACTTCTTCTACTACTACTACTACTACTACTACTACTACTACTACTACTACTACTA